AATGACCGCACCACAGCGACGATATGACAACTCCTGTCCATCCCCCATGTCCACGGCTGCCCACTCTTTTCACTCACCAATGGGTCTGAGCTGTAACAATGAGCTAGCATTTCACTCTGATGGTGCTGCTCTGGGATTAAGGGCTCAGAGAGTTATCAAAGGCTTAGTCACTCTGATTTCTAGTGACCCACCGAGGATGGCTGCAGATGGCATTCAGTACCAGCACAGAGACCTCCACCTCTGCAGATGCATTCTAGCTGCTGTGGCAGCTGGCCACCAGGGGCCATGTCACTTTAGGGAATCCCATGGGACCAGATGGACAGTATTTAGTGAATCCTCCTTAGATAAAAGGACTAGCTGAGAGATTATTGGAGAGCAATACAAAAAGAACATGAAGGGCAAATGTGAGGACACACACACACAAACCTCCTATCACAAAAATCAATACATAAATATCAATTATGGGGGAACTGATGGCTCAACTAATTAAGGTGTTAATCGTGGGAATTAAATTTAACACCAGAATCTATTTAGCTATCTGGCGATTTTTAGTTTCTTTATATTTTAGTCTTAACATTGTGATATTTTTCGCTGTATTGCATTTCATCCACACACACACACACACACACACACACACACACACACACACAAAAACTCAAACATCTAATTAACTCTAAAGTTTGGCAGTTCTTATCGTAGTGAGGACAAACACCAGTGCTCTGGCTATAAGTAAACCACATACAACTAAAAACACGCAGAAATTAACTGGGCTTAGCATGAGATGAGTTGTGATTCTTCGAATTTGTGTATTAAAAATATAAAAATAACTTGTCTGTCCCGATGAATGGGGTTCAGGACCCATAAACTGCAGCTTAGTTACTTCTAGCCCTGTTGGCTTCTGACCTAGCAGGAAGCAGCCGGGAACAGCACTGACTCCAGCCAGCCAATTAGAGAGCAGGGAGCACGAAGCACACTGAGGCTAACGAGCTCCCTCCCTATGACCCTCCTCACCTCTTCAGGACCCCACGATGGGAAATATGAGGAGCCGGGAGCCACTTTAACTAGACATTAACCCCACTTCCCCACTCCAACCGCTACTCTAAAACCCTGCTGTGTGACCACAAGGTCCACAAACACATGCTGCCTCTCTCCAGAGGCCCACCACATGGAGTATTTCTGCAGAACTAATTCTGAAAAGCAACACACAGAAAAAACAATGAGCAAGTAAACACATATTTCTTGCAAGGAGATGGAGCTGTGTCACTAGCCCTACAGTTTACGCTGGGCTGGTTCTAAGTGGAGGGATAATGAAGCCTCTTTCCATGTACTCAGAATAGAAAACGGGTTCCAAATGAATTGGCAGGATTTGTGAGGCAGTGAGATAATTCTGAGGCACTGCAATGAAACAGGGCTGCATTAAACACTAATGCTGCTTGGTATTATGTGTAATTGTTACTTATTAAAACATAATCAATAGAGAGTTAGAAATCACAAGATAACAATACACCTGGAGGGTTAATCTCTGCAGGTAGTGCCGGATACTCAAGATTGAGTTTCTGGTGCATCAGTCACATCCAGAACTAATGAAATAACAAGAGAGGGAGCCAGTCGTGATCAGCTATGTCCAACATCCCCACCCCCTTTTCTCTCCAGGCAGAATTGGTCCTGTCATTTGGACCCTCCAAACACGGACCATATGCGAGTTCAGCCCTGGCAATCAGACTGCATTGTGGAACAGGCAGCTGAGTTCATCAGGAAAAAATTAGCCCGCCGCTCTACAGGCCTCGCTCCCATTGGCCAGTCACGAGGCCTGCTCCGTTTGAGGGCACCCCAGACATTCCTGCGGATAATCTTTTCCATTCCTCTGCTCAGCTTGGTGAGGACAGACCAAATCACAGCACAAGGCTTGCATTGTGAAGGCCTTTTTCAAAAAGCTCTGTTTTCAATGCTGTCTCTCTTTTACACTCGCTCACCTCATGCACCACATTTCCAAAACAGAAAAAAAAATATCCCATCATGACTTCTTGTTCTCATTAAAAAGCAACAGAAAAAAAAGTGAAAAGAGGCCCTAAATGTTTTGCCTTTTTTCTAACATTATCCTGTGGAAAAGTGAGGTCTTGAATACTACATTTCTCACGGTCCCTTTCCAGTAAAAGTTTGTTTTTGAAAAGCCCAAACAATGTAAAACCACTGAAACCGGAGCCGAGCCACATCAGTGTGCTGCCCGGAGTTCAGCAGATCACTGCTGAATACAGCTCCCCCGGGCGAGGCTCGCAAGCCTTCCCAGAAACCTGCTGCTTGGTCACCCCTACACGCCTCACGCCCCCCACAGCAACTTGTCATTGTGGCCATAGTTGGGCAGCTGGAACATCATGATTGGAAGACAATCACACAATCTAGGGGCACTGGTGAATTTATAGAAACATATTCCATAATTAGACCCACAGATTATTACAGAGTCTATAAACTTAGACTCCAGAGCGGCTAGCCACCCCTCTGCTGCTATGACTTAACAGTTGGGTAACTTTCTCTGGAGGTATCCAGTGCTCTTGGCTGCTTAACACACCACCGATTTACTTTAACAACTCATGCGAGAATAGCAACAAGAAAAGAAACTTCACTCCCCTAACTCCTCCTCTCTTCTCTATTTGCCCCTGAGTCTGACACAGACAAAATAATCTAATGTTACTTGTAACCTGGTGTCCTACCAGTCTTAAAATAGCCACAACACAAAGACGTAAAACCTTTAACATATTTCAGTGACACTACACAACTTATCCAGATGGTCCCAATTGTTCGGAAAACACATCCACCCTCATTATTAAACTCTGACAGTAAAATATGTTGCAATCAATCAAGACAACTCTGCAAAATACACAAAGATGGGGGCGAGGTTGGTAGAATAACTGTGCACCTCATCGTGCTGAAACTTGTCCATATGAAAGTATTTGCCTGTGAAAGAGAGGGTAGTGGGTTCTCATTTTCTCCCCCCTTCACAGAGCAGGAAGAGAAAAGAAGACAGTTAAGGTTTACTATTGATTTTGAAAAAAATATAAAAACCAATAATATTTTAAATAAATACACAAACTATGGTTAAAAAACAAAACAAGACGCAGACTCCCTCCGTGAACACTTGGCCAGTGAATTTTTGGATATAAAATACCATCTCTTCAAGATTCTACTTTAATAGTTAGCAGTGTAAAATTTTGCAAGAATTCACCTATAATTTATTCAATACTGCCAACACTGTGCAGTCACAGTGACCTTGACCTTTAACCACCAAATTCAAACCCGTTTACCTTTTAGCACATGGTGTACGTTTATGCCAGGTGTAATGAAATTCTCTCCATGGCGTTCGTGGTTTGCACAAGAGTGTGACAGACATGAGGTGACAGTGACCTTGACTGCTTATGAGGAAAATCTAAGCATTCCCTCAAGAGTTAAAGTGACTGTTTGTTCTAAATTGCATGGCATCATTTAAGAAATACAATAATATGAGAATAGCATGCAGATGGACAACAAAACCCACAAAGCTTAGGTCACAATTTGCACAAGCATTGAGGTATAAATCTTGTATACAACATGAACAATATTATTCCATTCAAAATTTCCCGGTCTTTTGAGCCCTTTCAGTGTTTCAAGGATAACAATGTGTCTCATTCTCAAGGGAAAACGTTTACTGCAGTAACAACTACAACAAGACAAAGAAATGAATAAAATTAGTGTAATCTTATTATTAAATTGGATTGCATCTTTTCTTCTTTTGGATCACTGTCAGATTTAATAAGACGATTTAAAATGTGGAAAGTCCTAAAGGCAATTTTGATGCAGACTTGAAAGAAACATGCATGGATACTATCTTTGGTCATCACGCACAGATTGTACAACAAGACTGATCAGATTTTGTAGTTAAGCAAAACTTATGATTCAAAGCCTTGAACTTTTTGTTTCAAATTGTGTTGGTAATCCTTAAAAAGGAAAAAAAACCCACAAATTTACTGATTATAGAACTATTTGAGTTTTTGGACATGAGGTGTTTTCCCTAGTTTTGAAAACGTATCAACAGTTCTCGAATGTTTAATACAATTTACTCGTTATTTTTTAAATCCAATATACCACCTCAATAAATGAATTCCTCAGATGCATCTGAGAGCACTTAATAAGAAAAAAAGGGGGGGGGATCAAACAAAACAGGAAAGAATTATGATTAATTTGCAGTTCAGTGCAAAATGAAACAAAATAATCAAAACTCTGAGCTAATTTGTTTCTAAAAGGAAACGGATTTCTTTCAGAAAATGTTTGTATTCTCCAACAACAGAAGGCTAAAAAAATAAAGGTTTTTGCTTAGGAAAATTGTTTCAGAACTAATAAAAAAATTTTAGATTTCGATTTTAGAACACTTCTACTTTGTGCAGAAGAATCAAACAGATGTTCTCAGAGGTTGTTTGTTTTTTTTATAGTGTATGTTGAAGTGACTTTGTCCTAGCACACAAGTCATGCTCTCATCACAAGGCAGGCAGCTCAGCTGGTAACAGCACTGATAATGCTGAATGAGGGAGCCTCAGGGATGGAATGATAAATGTATCAGCATTAACCACATGTTCTGCACAGTTTGGACCCCTATTCATTAGCCACATACCAGACAGTTCAGTTCAGAATACCCACTGATGTCAGCCTCTGCTTGTCTGAGAGGGCCGACTGAGATGGTGGGAGGAAGGGGGCCATTCTCAGAGCACCTCTGTTAACTTGTCCATCATTGGGGCTCCACATGCAAAGACACCATTAATCATAAAAACCAGACGGAACACTGCCTCCTGAAAGGGTCCCCGAGCCACACCTCAAACCAGAGGTTGTGAGGCGTATACATGTATGTGCATCAGGTTTGGAGATGACTTCTTACCTGTTAGATTGCACAGTGTATTCCCTCATATTTTCCCCAAGATCAAACAAAAGAACAAAGCAACATAGTATCAACAAGAAGTTTAACAAGTTGGTGTTACCTGAGGATAGACGGCGGTCATGGAGGGGGCACACACCACTAAAACAGGAACAAGCGTCACCTGAGCGACCTCGCTGCATCGGAGGAGCTAGAGAGCACTGGGGCTTCAAGAACCCTGTAATGAAAGAAATACAGAGAAATTAAACACAAAAGACAGGAGGAATATGGAGAAGATGATAAAGCAGATTAAACTTTGACATTACAGTGATTGGGCCACCATCAGCACCAGCATACTGTTCAAAATGTATAGCTTTGTCACCTCTTGGCCAGGACTCCCTTGAAAAAGAGGTTTTTAAGCTCAATGGGACTTTTCCTGGTTAAATAAAGGTTACTAATAATAAAATTTGTAATCAGGTGTACATCACCCTAAACACCTCTCTTGTGGCACTGAGCCAGCTCACTGCCCATGAGTTTTGTATGTCTGTATCCAGCCTTGAAGGCTCCACAGAGTGGACAGAACCTGCAGAGCGCTGGCTAGGGCTGGTTTGTGGAAAGGCAAAAGGCTTTTGGGCACAGCACTAAGGTTAGCAGCTCTGTGTGGTCAAAATGCCAGAGTAAGTTGGGGTGCCTGAAGGGGATGGAGGAGGCCGTCATACTGTCTGTCTCAGGGGTCGCAGTGGTCATTTTCAATAGGGAAGCCATTATCTGGCACAATAAGGCAACTGAGGATGCTGTATGCCCTCCAGGCAAGTGCTCACAAGTCACTGACATCATCCAGCAAAGAAAAGCTCAACAAACAAATCTAGATTGTTCAAAACAGCAATGTTTGGAGAAATCTGTCCTGAATTATAGAACCCTAATACTATCCCAAAGTCCTCAATTTGATGAACTTAAAACAAAATAGAGAAGAATACAGGAGGTTCATGATGGAGCTTAAAGAACTACAAATCTATTAATATCAAATTACAAAAATGTCCCAGACTGAGTAGCACTAACCTTTATGATTGATGATGATACCATTTTTTATTATTTCTTATAAATGGACTGAAAGTGGAATATGAGTGGTATTTTGCTTCACCTACAACGCAGCCAAAAGGAAAACCTGTGTGTGCAGAGAAGCAGTCGCTCCATCTTTATTGACAGGGTAGCTCAAGCAGATCTTATTGGCATTAGAGGACCTCTGCAAATCCAAACTTTATTCACTCCTTAGGAGGACTTTTGGATTTTCTGCAAACATCAAGAGCAGCAAGCGGAAGAGCCCTCCCCATCGCTGTTGTCTGAGCCCAATAAAGCTCCTTTATTACCACCATGAAAAACATGTCACTCCAGATGAGCTCAGAGAATGACATTTAAAACAGGCAAAGAGATATTGAATTAGTTCCCCATGATAAGCTGTCTGAGATGCTGATATTTATTTTTCCTGCTTTTATCAGAATCAGAATCAGAATACTTTATTGATCCCTGGGGGAAATTATTTTTTGTTACAGTGCTCCATTTTAAACCAACATTAAGACAAGACAGACAATACGCTAACTAAGAATAGTACAATATATACATACATATATATATATATACATACATACATACATACATACATACATAAGTCACTTATAAATAAATATTTGGAAAAGAAACATGTGTAGTTGTAGCAGCAAACAGTGTGTTAAGTGGATGCGTTGTACAGGGAGATGGCCACAGGCAGGAATGATTTCCTGTGTCGTTCAGTGGTGCTTTTCGGTAATCTCAGTCTCTCACTGAACGAGCTCCTGTGACTGACCAACATGTCATGGAGTGGGTGGGAGGTGTTATCCAACATTGTCTTTATCTTGGACAGCATCCGCTGTTAAGGGTGTACCATGTGGAAGTGCATGTGCAATCATATGGACATGTGAGCAGGTGGGGCTTTCTTATTCGACACATTCATTAGTATTACAGATGATTCAGGGACTGGCAAGATAATTCAAGTCTGGATCAGTCAGAGCAAAGAGACAGACTGAGGTCATCTTGAATATCACAAATTAAATAAAACAGGCAAAGAGGAACACATGAAACTAAAATAAAGCCTGTTTATTCTCGTGTCACGCATATCACTTATTTCACTGTTTAATGAGCATCATATCATTGTCATCAGATGTTGGAAAATGTCATCTTAAAATAACAGCAAAGAGTCCCGAGCCCCGCTTTATGGGAACCATGAAGATTACAGGCATCTTGGATGAGGATCAATCAAATGTTTGCGATTCAGAAAACAATACCCTAACAGACTCTGTGTGTGTGTGTGTGTGTGTGTCTGTGTGTGTGTGTGTGTGTGTGTGTGTGTGTGTGTGTGTGTGTGTGTAAGTTCTGATTTGTAAGTGCGCTGTCAATTTAATGGGATTAGTCCAAACCATAATGCAGTTAAATCTTTTACTCTTAGCTTGGAAGCCAAGTATGAGTTAAGATCATTTCAATATGATATACCAGATTATATATTTGTGCAAGCCATCTCATCACCACCCTAACACAGTGACTCAAATCACTTTTATGGCATTATTAATTACAGATAAGAATATTCTATTGTAGACTATGAAATAAATTAACATGACTTTTCTTTTCTTTCCAAGCTGAATAGAAGGACATCAAAATGAATCAACCACACCATTTTTTAACCAAACATACACACAAGAGTAGTTCTTCAGAAGGAACTGTGTCAGGACTCATGGAGAAGGAGAAGAAGGGTGCAAGAGAGGGGGAGGGAGTGAATCTCGGAACACAATAGTTCTGCCATACTCAACCATATTTTTCCCGTCTTTGCCAAATTAAGTTCTTCAAAAACACGACACACTCCCGGTTGAAGAAAGGGGCTGGAGGCCAAACAGTGACACATGGTATAGTGCTTCGAGTAATGTCACTAAACATTAAGGAATTTCCATATGAGCCCTACCTACCTCCCTACCTCCCAGTCAAGTTGCACTTTTCCAAAGTCAGGAGTAAACTAAGGAGACAGCAACACCCACCTCCCAAAAAAAAAAAAAAAAAAAAAGCCTTACTCTGAAAGCAATCCACTGGAATAATGTTCCCACGAGACAAAGTAATGTTAAAGCAATCTGAAATTTCACTACAGAATAAGGAAGAGGTAAAGACAAAAGAGAGAAAAATTCGTTTGAAGCTGAAAATGATCTCAAAACCTCAATGTGTATTGTAAAAACACCTACCATATATCAAAAAAATGGTTTAAAAAAAAAAAAGAAAAAAAAAGAAGGAAGAAAAACTAAGTTGGTTACGTTGCTGCTGATAAACAACTTGAGTTTAAATCTCAAAAACATAATTAAAAGGAATGAATCATCAAATGTTTAGTTGGCAGCTGTAAAAATACTTCAAGAATGATACATTTGACAGGAATCCGTCTTTTTTTTTTCTTTCTGTTGGCTCGATAAATCATTTTGAGTGAAGGGCTTTACATTTTAAACCCTGAAGGACTTGATGAAAGTGTACGACATGTATGTGCAGGTTCCGGACCTGCTGTTGTAAAAGGTAAGGTTGGTACATGTCTCGTCATTAAATCTTCTCCAGCACTGCATCATTATGCCTTAGTTCATATACTCAAGCAGGATCTTGATTACTAAAGTGTTTGATCTTGCACTTCATTTCTAAGCGGCAAGGATCTCATTGGCTTTAATAACTGCATGATCCAATCTTCCAGGGACAAGCTCAAAACCTTCCTTTAACAGCCAATCGGCATTATCCTTTCCAGCCATCATGGGGGATCAGGGCAATGTAAACACGCTGGGAGTTTCCTCATTAAAGACAGCCTGCTAATGAAATCCCATCCAGCATTTACAACCTTGTGCTAATGAAGGCAAGCCTTTGAGATGTTCTGCTAATGAAAGAAGGGCTTTTTATTGATATAAAGCTAATAAAAGAAAGGCTTAATGACAAGGTTCTAATGAAACAAAGGTGTGTAAATGTGGCGTTATAACCAAACCCACTGATAAGGTGAAATCTGCAGCATTTTCATTTAAGCACATTTTTTATTTACTGCAGATAAACAAATGACTAGGTCTCCAGAATTTACAAGACCTCACAAACTGGGGCCTGTTGAAGAAAATGCATTCAAGCATTTATGAGTTTAAGGGTTCCTAGCTGAATTCTCCTGAAGAGTAAGGATTGTTCATGTCCTACAGTATGTTGCCAGGGTGAACAAGCCCAAGGTCAAAGTTCATTGGCCCGCTAATGCATCTCCAAGGTGCAATAAAAAAGCCCTTCCTTTATGGGACTTCAGGGGCTAAGATCCTGATAGAGTGCTTGGAAGGATGGGACAGCGGGGGCCATCAACCGTTACTGTTACCATCATGACTGGCACCTTCGGCTGAAGGAGGCCTCAAACCTCCATGCACAGAAGGAGATTTCAACTGCTCAATTGTGTTTGCCGACATGTACTTGAGATATGTATTTTACTGAATTCTCTGTGTATAAAATAGCATACAATTACACTGATTATGCTGTTCCAAGTCCTTCTGTTTTTGTTTGTCTTACATCGGTTTATTGATTTTTAAAAATCCCCATTTTTAAGCCCCACCTTAAGCTAAATTTTTTTTTTATTTTTCTGTGCTCATGATATAAATGTATTTTTTTTAAATTTATTAATTAATCATGAAATTAATTGGCCCGGTCTTATGTTAGCACTATGTCAGAGGTTAGTGTAACACACTGTGTTTATATTTTAAATGACACACATCAAGCGTAGCTATTTACTTTCATCTGATTTCCATCATCCACCTACATCGCCTCCTTATGCCTGTAGTTACCATTCAATAAAACAAATCCTGTGTACAGACGCAAATCTTTTTTTTCCCCCCATCTGTTTAGAGATATAAGATGCAGGATCCATCCACTGATAATCAAACATTTCTTGAGTGAAGCATTTCTCTCAGAAATGACAGGAATGCTGCCCTTATTTGTTGATCATCAGCCTGTCCCTGCGTGTATTTGCTTCATCAGCAAACTGTCTTCCCTCCCACTAGATGAAATCTATTTTGAAGAAGGAAGCCGTGCAAAAACATGTCATTAAACTTGCATTTATCTCAGCCAGAGCAAAGTCTGGGCAGATCTATTACGACAACAAAGCCAAAAAAAATCAAAAAAAAATCAATGATCTCTAGAAGCCATACCTACTTGCTGATAATAGCAGGATGC